CTCCTGATGCTCTTATATGACACGGATATACAAACACCAACATCTCCACTCCAGTCAATCTCCCAGTAACAGCGTCCACACACACTCTCTCTGCACAACACCTGAGGATAATCAAATCTGTCTGGATGATCAGGATACGGCTGATTCTCTTCCACACTCTTCACCTCTCTGTTCTCCTCAGACAGAATGAGTTGAGTGTGTGCTGTGTTTGGATCCAGAGTGAGGAAACAGACATCTGAACACAAGAACACACACATTTACAACCACAGCTGTGTGTGTGTGTGTTCGTGTGTGTGTGTGTGTGCATGTGTGTGCGTGTTTGTGTGTGTGTCTGTGTGTGTGCATCTGTGTGCGTGTGTGAGAGAGAGAGTTTGTGTGTGTGTGTATGTGTGTGTGTGTGCATGTATGTGTGAGAGACTGAGTTAGTGTGTGTGTGTGTGCATGTGTGTGTGTGTGTGTGTGTGTGACAGAGTAAGTTTTTTTTGTGTGCGTGTGTGTGCAAGTGTGTGTGTGAGAGAGTTTGAGTGTGTGTGTGTGTGTCTGTATGTATGTGTGTGATAGAGTGTGTTTGTTTTTGTGTGAGAGAGTAAGTTTGTTTGTGTGTGTGTGTGTGTGTGTGTGTGCATCAGGCACGTGCACACATAGGGCTCAACCTGTGCAGTGCACATGCCCTTTTTAGTGTTGGATAGAAAGTGCCCTTCCAAAATGATCAATAGTGCCCCCGCGACACACTCTCTCCCGCCCTTCAGTAGGCGCGCGACAACACTGCTCTTGATTACGCGCACTCATCCCCCGCTTTAAAGTACGCGCGACAACACAGCTGCTGAGAACGCTCGCGACAACACCGCTCTTCAGTGTGTAAGTGAGTGAGTTTGTATGTTTGTATTTGTGTGTGTGTGTGTGTGCGCGTGTTTGTGTGAGAGAGTGAGTTTTTGTGTGCGTGCGTGTGTGTGCATTTGTGAGTGTGTGTGGCTGTATCTATGTCTGTGTTTGTGTGTGTGTGAGGGAGAGGGAGTGTGTGTGCGCACATGTTCACTGGTGTGTGTGAGTGTGTGTCTGAGAGAGAGTTTGTGTGTGTGTGTAAGTGTGTGTCTGTGTGTGTGAGAAAGAGAGTGAGTTTGTGTGTGTGTGTGTGTGTGCGTGACATGCGTGCGTGCATGTGTGAGAGTATGTGAATGTATGTGTATGTGTGTGTGTGTGTGAGAGAGAGTTTGTGTGTGTGTGTGTGTGTGCGTGTGTTTGTGTGTGTCTGTGTGTGCGAGAGTGAGTTTGTGAGTGTGTGAGTTTGTTTGTGTGTGTGTGTGTGTGAGTTGTGTGTGTGTGTGTGTGTGTGTGCGCGCGCATGTATGTGTGTGAGAGGTAGTTTTTGTGTGTGTGCATGTGTGACATATGCCTGCGTGCCTGTCTGTGTGTGTGTTTGTGTGTGAGTGTCTGTGAGAGAGTGTGTGTGAGAGTGTGTGTGTATGTGTGTGTGCGTGCATGTGTGTGTGAGAGACTGTGTGTGCGTGCGTGTGATTATGTGTGTGAGTGTGTGTGTGTGTGTGTCTGTGAGAGAGTGTGTGTGTGTGTGTGAGAGTGTGTGTGTATGTGTGTGTTTGTGCGTGCGTGCGTGTGTGTGTGTGAGAGACTGCGTGTGTGTGCTGTGTGTGTGTGTGTGTGTAGTCCTACATTTGCGTGGTCCTGCTGTAATCCTCGTGTGTCCTCCATGATCCAGACTGTAAACACACACAGATGGAGAGAATGAGCTGTTTAGTTTCCCCCTCAGCTAATAAGCTAAAGCTAGCACTGAGCTGCTCAGCTACACGCTCCAAACTCTTGAGCTAAAACACACAACACTTGTTGGTTGAGCCGAGATGCACAATGAATGTAACACAGTGCGTTCTTTTCCTCTGCTGTTGGTGAAGCGAGCGCAGATACTGCTCATGTTGATGGAGACACCCTGCTGCAACATTCATTTATTACAGTGATCACACTTAGCTTTGCCATCGTTCTTCAGCACATGCAGCCTTTGAGCACATGTTGCAGTCCATCTCTAAACTATGTTCAGATTATTAAAGCTGCTCGCCAGCGCCCAAGTTCCTGACAGATTAGCAAGTGAAAAATACACATGTGTGCACAGAGAAGAGGAATCCAGATGTTGATTTTAGAACAAGAGTCTGAACATTAATCCAAGTGTCTGATTCCAGAATCTGAATCCATCTTCAATCCCCAACCCTGTTTCTGACCTGATATTGTAGGATTCTTCAGCAGAAATGGAGGAAGAAGTTTCTCTGCTCAGCTCAAATGCTGAAACTGTACAGTGTGTCCCGCTTAAGCCTAGTTCACACTACAGGATTTTAAACATCAGAAGATCGCTGTTCCGTTTACACTACATGACTTGACTTTGTGTCTTTTAATCTCTGAGGTGTGCAACACTCCGTGAACGATCCACAAGAGGGGGGTCACACACTACATGATCTGACAACAACTCATTCCCCATCAGCTCATTCAAGCTACCAAACCACAGCCAATGAAATTTTGAGGGAGGAGTCATCAGAAAAAGCTGAACACTATTGGCTGCTTGTGTGCTGATGACATCACTGACAGTGTTTCAAGCTTTGGAGAAAGCATTTAAAAACATCGTCAAATCAGCTGATTTATGAGCGGATTAATCACTCATCTGCAAGGTTCCAGTGGATAGATACACAGAGAGTTTTTAATTTTTGTAATTGTATAACTCTTTGAAATAAAACTAACAAATAACACCCTGCCGTTTTCTAACCATCAGTGTATTTCTTTCTGACATTGTTATTTTTTTATTACAAAACAGTAAAGAACTGAGCATTTCTGCCTTAAATTACCATATTGGTCAAAATGACTGCATGCATGTCTGATACTTTTCGCTGTGACTTTCAATATGTGTGCATTTTCTTGCCTGGCAACTTCCTGCTAAAATAAACAAAACTTTCTGATGGCAAAATCATCAATTTACTTCAGATATCTTTCAAAACTGCATATTCTGTGCTGTTAAAAAGCTCCTGTTTGAAAGTGAAAATGAAAGCCAAGACCTTTAAGTGTTTTAGTATCTTAACTACATATTTATAGGCTGTATTACCAAAAAAAGATTATATTTTTAGGGTAATGGTGTCATTAAATATGATGCCAGACATTCAAAGCTTAATTTTAATATCTCAATAATAGCTTTGAATGTAAATATGTTGTGACAATATGGCATTTTATATGAGAACGGTCAGAATGAGCAGTATGGTAATTCTAATAGTTACACAATTCTAGTTCCAATGTTAATATAGCCTCCTCTCATGTCTGTGCTAACGCAGAATGAAGCGAGTGCACCGATGCCCATTCTGACCAATCACAGATGTTTCTGATGAGCTCCTGAACACACAGGCATTCAGCTCATGTTGATATGCTCTCTTATTGGCTGCAGCTCGTCACTACATCTGACCACACTCGGGGTTGAGTCGGCCGACTGCTCTGGAATATTCAGCATGCTGAATGTTGGATTTCCGTCTGCGAGGTGTGGGCGACGTGTCAGCGAGCCTCGTTGATGCGTTGTTTAGTAGGTCACACATACAGAGCGGCGAGCGCCGTGCACCCGCAGATTTCTTCCCCATCACAGCCCGATCTGTCGGCGAGCTCGTTAACTTCCAAATCGGGCTCAAATCAGGCTTAAAATCCTCTAGTGTGAACTAGGCATTAATGTCACTGTAACTGAGCCAATACACTCCAACATTTACAGAGGAGATTCATTTCACACTCAATGATTTGCTCTTCATAGACATGACTGGAATACTCTACAAGCTGTTTCTTCTGTCTGTCCTCACCCCATAACCCTCAAAGAAAACTGAAGCTGATCACAAAAGAGCTTTCTAGTGTCTTTTTAAAGCCATTCAGTGTAAAAGCACAAGGCCAGTGCTGCTCCACATACTTGAGTTTGTCCAGTGTGTAGTTTGGATCCTCCAGTTGTTCAGAGAGCAGCTTGACTCCTGAATCTCCTGGATGATTGTAGCTCAGATCCAGCTCTCTCAGGTGTGAGGGGTTTGAAGTCAGAGCTGAAGACAGAAAACCACAGCCTTCCTCTGTCACCATACAGCCAGACAATCTACAAACACAGCAATAGTCCACATCACACAGTTGGACAATCACACATCTCTTTGTGTTGTGAAGATGCTGACTGCTGTTTCTGCTCATGTCAACAGCAGTGATGAACACACACATCCTGATCAGCTCTCCTTATTGATCGAGCCCTCGCATCAGCAAACACACACACTCACACACTCAACAAGGACTCGACATCATCTGTAGAAGTGTACAGAGCAAAGACGTTGTTCATAATACACCACATCAAGCTGTAAACTCTGCTGTGAGGAGGAAGAAGACACACTTGATCATCTTAAAGTCATGTATTAAGTGCTGCTATTCAATGATCCTCCACATAGTTGGATTGTTTTTGTCATGTGAGAGACATTCTACAATACTGATTCAGGATTTTTTGTAATGATCAATAGTGATGAGTAAAGTAACACTGTAGGGTCATATTAGGGTATTTAATGTTCCCATTCTTGAACGCATTACTTATTCAAGAATCCATTGAATAAATGCAGGATAATAAACCAACAGATCATTTTCAGCAGATCACAATCATCTGTGGACATTTATAAAGTTAAAGTGAAGTTACATCTGACATTTCACTTTCACATTCACACTTTAGCAGAGAATGAAGAGAATAGCAAACCTGTAAACCCAGCTGAGCAGTGTTCATCTAGTGTCAGAGATCATACACACCTTTTACAGTGTTGATGTGTGCTAAAATCATCAATGACAATGAGTGATCGTCCTCTTTACACTCTTTTGAGCTGTTAATTGTGCAATAGTTTTTGCACATCAATAATGCATCATCTTAAAGTGATTTTATAGTTGATTTTAATATATTAAATAGATAAAAGTGTGATTTGTAGATGATTGACACCTAGATGCAGGATTACAGCTGGTTGTATGACTGTAAGACATGAACTCAAATGTTGCAGAGGTCTGAAATGTGTAATCAGGTGTAGGACTGGGTAATGTCAGACAATATTTATTAATAATTGCCTTTAAAGATATCTTCATATCTGATAATCTCGTCTCTCCACTCACATCTGTCATGGGACATGCCCACACACGCACACACACACACACACACACACACACACACACACACACACACACACACACACACACACACACACACACACACACACACACACACGATCTCTGAAGAGGAATAACTAGAGAAAAAAGAAGCGCTGGTGAACTCCTCTGAATGACCAAAACACCCAGGCGGGACAGAGCAACAGACAGATGCTGAGCTGCTTATCTTGGAGGATGGCCAGCACAAACTCAATGCAGCTTCACACTCTCGTCCAGCCCTACATCACAGCATCATCAAGACGCATTTATTAACTACTAAAACTGTGGACAAGCAAATATGATACAGCCTATAGATACTGTCTAGCCAGTGCTCAGACTAATATGTGTGTAATGTGTTGAGGCCGCAGCTCATGATTGGCCATCCGCTTTCTCTTTCACTCACACATTCCTCTCCAAAGCGTGTGAGGGGGTCTAAACCTCAGATTATACTCATGAGCAAAAGGCCCGATCTCTCCTTCACATGTCTGGAGCTTTGTTTGCTTTATTTGTGTGTTAAAGTCATTCTAGATGTCTGTCAGCCTGTTCCTGTGGGTGAGATGGAGCGACTGACACATGAAATAAAGCTTTAGCATATGCATTCATCTACAATCTAAAGGGAAGTGTCGTGTTATTACTAGACCATTTACACTTACAGACTGGGCCGACATTCAATTGATCACTTCACTAGATTATCTTCCCTCAATAATGTGGATTATCTAATCTAATCTAACTTGATCTAATCAAATCCACATCGCCCAGCCCTAATCAGGTGTCCAGACTTTTTTTTTCTAGATGTCTGTCAGCCAGGAGTCTTGAGAAACAGAGCGGTGTCCCACATGTGTCTGAGTGACAGTGACTGATGCGCACTTGAACAGGGCACTCATATGAAGGAGGAGCAATAAGACGCAGCCGCAGACAAGCGTATCACACGAGAGTGTCAGTGCCCATTCTAGACTCACAGTGGATGTAACAGTGATGTTCCCTGTTTTCCAGACAAACACGCTCAACCAATGGCTATTGCTGGACCAAGTTCATGTCTGAATATTAGCGAGTCCTAGACTACAGAAAGAAACGTCTTGAGTCTGGACTCGAGTACTACAGCCCTGACAGTCACAAACTTCAGCTTGTAGATCAAACTTTACTGTATAAAGAGCCACAGAACATGACCTGATCTTCATTTGTATATTATATTGTGGACGATGATGTAAATAAACTAAAACAAACACAAACCCACTCTCTTAATGTCTCTTTCACCAGCCTGACAGTCACATTCACACTGATGGAGCGTTAGGGGACTTTTATTCTGTCAGCTGAGAAACATCTGATCAATAATCATGAGCGCTGACTCTCCTTCACACACAGCCTTTCTGACAGAAGATCTTCAGTCAATATATTGCTTCATGTGAATGAGTAATCAGGATTATTTTTAGATCCAGTTGTAATAAATACATCAGTTCACCAGGTCCCTTACAGTAAACTGCTGAATACATGCTTATAGTGTGTCTTCATATTATTGTAGTGGTTTAGATCTGTGGTCCCCAACCCCCAGGCGGGTGCTGGTGCGTGGATCAATCAGTACCGGGCTGAACAAGAATGAATTATCTTTAAGTTGGCAGATAAAGAAGCTGCATTTAAACTAGATTTGTGGGGACGGCGCGTGAACAGGCATATCGGACGTGTTTCAAACATTAGCGCGGATTTTGTGTGAGACTGAGCCTGCGCCCTCACTCACCAAGCTGGTGCACGATCACCAGTCTTCACTGTTAAAGGAGTTTGAGAAACACTTTCGCATGTCGAGATGTACATGATACTGTATGTGTGTGTGCTGGCGCCCACGGGCTGTTTCACAGGCACATGCAAAGCTTGAAGGTAAACAAACAACGGCTTATCATAAGCATCTTATCGATAATAATTTATACGGTTGGCATTAAAGTGAACATATAAACGTTATGTGACTAATTTCTAGCAGCTAAATGTGTCTGGAAAAATATTCAAATATTCTCATAAACCGCGTGGACGTGAATGCGTCTGACTGTTCTGATTGGCTAAAGCAGACGTCTCACGTCAGCACGTTATAGATGTGCATGCGCTCTTTTTCCAGCAATCTTCTGTCATGAATCTGGTTTGTTAATTGTCAATCTTTTTCCCCTTCTGTGTCTTCCCGTACCAGCTGTCAGCGCTTGCAATCAGCGCGAGCGCTGATCAGCAGTCACCTGTTCCCGCTTTGTCATTATTGACACCACTATATCTACCTCCTTTGTTTCTCCTCCTGTTGTCAGATTATTGTTACTCTGTGCGTTGTTCTCCGTGTGGTTTGTGCTTTATTTGTCTTGTCTCGTCAAATCTCCCCGTGATTCATCCCTCCTGTGTTCATCGTTTCATGTTGAGTGCCGCAGCCTGCTTGATAACCTGTAGACTGTACTCTGACCATCAGCACCCGGAGGTCAGTGTTTCCTGCATCGCTGTGGTGGGCACGGACCGATCGGCTCACTTCCTCTCTCGGCCCCGGCCGTGGGTTTGCCTTTTTTGAGTTTGCTTTGAAGAACCGGATCTGTGTGATTCATTTGAATTACTAACGGCCTTTGTTGAACTGTTAATAAAGACTGGTTGATCTGCACAAACCTCTCCTTTGATTCTGTTATGTGACATCTTCCTTCTATGGACCATCTCGTTGCAAAGAAATAAGCTCAGGGCTCCCATTGATTTAGCGTTACTGATGTAATAATATGCTATATTGTTGGAGCAATGTGTTAATAAAGTTATTACTTCCTAATGTTATAATAGCATTGTAATGTTGGAGCAATGTGCTAGTAAAGTTCCATATGAGTACACAGTGGATTCACATTGACCGGTCCGCAGTTAGAAAAAGGTTGTGGACCACTGGTTTAGATAATATTAAGAGTGTCGTGAGACTTTTATATGTTTAGAAGAAACTGCAAACTGAACAAACAGCAGAGCATGTCTAAACTTCACCAGGACACAACAGATATACATATAAAAATATAAAATATGAATAAATAATTCAGAGGTAATTCATAATAAAGATCCTTAAAATAAACTGATTCCTTTAACTTTAAGTCACATTTGGGTATATTGGAAAAAGAGAAGCTCTGAAAGTGCAACATTTCATAATGGACTAAGTAAAGCTTTTAAATATATTTATAGATAAACATACATCATTAAAGCTATGATTAAAATCACAACCCTGTAAATGTTTTGTTTTTTTCTTCTGTCAATCCACTGAATGGGGATACACATCAGGTAACCCAATATGAAACTGTATCTGTTGAGTGGAGAATCATTTACCTCAGTGTGTCCAGTTTACAGTGTTGACTCTTCAGTCCATCAGAGAGAAGCTTCACTCCTGAATCCTGCAGGTCATTGTTACTCAGGTCCAGCTCTCTCAGCACACAGTTTGAGGATTGTAGAGCTGAAGACAAACTCTCACAGCACTGAACAGTGAGATTACATGTGACCAGTCTGAGAAAGAAGAACACAGATTACATTAACAGTGTGATTTCAGTCATTCATCTGATGTAAAAACAAACTATGAGGTTAATAATATGACAAAACTATTGGAATTTGTGTCAATTAGAATTATTGACTATTGTTATTTATTAAAACTGAGTATTAAATGTCATCTAATATATTCTTGAATATTTTGAAATGTGAGAAAACTGCTAAATTTGAGTTTAGATAAGAGGACCACGAGACTTTATATATTTATGAACCTGCAAAATGCAAATGATCAGAGCCTGTCAAACCTGCTCCAATAAACCAATTCACAGATAAACTATAAATATAATCATTAAAAATATAAATAAAGATTTAGAGGTAATTAAATAAAATAATCATTAAAATACACTGATTTCCTGAACTGTTTAAGAAAAAGAGCAACTTTCTTTTGAGAAGAAGCATTTTGTAGTTTCTCCACTAATGCTCTTAAATATATCTGGACATTTTCATCTCAATCTAAACACTTTTTAATGTTGTAGAGTGGAGAATCATTTACCTCAGTGTCTCCAGTTTACAGTATTGACTCTTTAGTCCATCAAAGAGAAGCTTCACTCCTGAATCCTGCAGGTCATTGTTACTCAGGTCCAGCTCTCTCAGCACACAGTTTGAGGATTGTAGAGCTGAAGACAAACTCTCACAGCACTGAACAGTGAGATTACATGTGACCAGTCTGAGAAAGAAGAACACAGATTACATTAACAGTGTGATTTCAGTCATTCATCTGATGTAAAAACAAACTATGAGGTTAATAATATGACAAAACTATTGGAATTTGTGTCAATTAGAATTATTGACTATTGTTATTTATTAAAACTGAGTATTAAATGTCATCTAATATATTCTTGAATATTTTGAAATGTGAGAAAACTGCTAAATTTGAGTTTAGATAAGAGGACCACGAGACTTTATATATTTATGAACCTGCAAAATGCAAATGATCAGAGCCTGTCAAACCTGCTCCAATAAACCAATTCACAGATAAACTATAAATATAATCATTAAAAATATAAAATATAAATAAAGATTTAGAGTTAATTAAATAAAATAATCATTAAAATACACTGATTTCCTGAACTGTTTAAGAAAAAGAGCAACTTTCTTTTGAGAAGAAGCATTTTGTAGTTTCTCCACTAATGCTCTTAAATATATCTGGACATTTTCATCTCAATCTAAACACTTTTTAATGTTGTAGAGTGGAGAATCATTTACCTCAGTGTCTCCAGTTTACAGTATTGACTCTTTAGTCCATCAAAGAGAAGCTTCACTCCTGAATCCTGCAGGTCATTGTTACTCAGGTCCAGCTCTCTCAGCACACAGTTTGAGGATTGTAGAGCTGAAGACAAACTCTTACAGCACTGAACAGTAAGATTACACATGGCCAGTCTGAAAGAAAAAAAAATCAAAATTACTGTGTAATTTTTAGTAAGATCTTTAATGCAATACATAATTATAATCCATCCATCCATCTAACAATCTACAGAAAGAAACGTCTTGAGTCTGGACATTTTGCAGTTTACTCAGTAAAGCTTTTGAATATATTTTTACAAACATACATTAGTACAGCTATGATTAAAATCACAACCCTGTAAATGTTTTGTTTCTTCTTCTGCCAATCCACTGAATGGGGCTCCACATCAGGTAACCCAATATGAAGCTGTATCTGTTGAGTGGAGAATCATTTACCTCAGTGTGTCCAGTTTACAGTGTTGACTCTTCAGTCCATCAGAGAGAAGCTTCACTCCTGAATCCTGCAGGTCATTGATACTCAGGTCCAGCTCTCTCAGCACACAGTTTGAGGATTGTAGAGCTGAAGACAAACTCTCACAGCACTCAACAGTGAGTTTACAGTCCTGTAGCCTGTGTAGAGGACAGTAAAAGACACTGTAATATTGTGTGTGAGCGTGATGTAATTATTAAAGTGTCTATAATGAGTGATTTCTCCTCATAGGGAAAAGGAAAAGACTCCTTTAACTTTTCAGAGTTGCTTTGATGGTCACAAGGAGGAAGATCAAACATTTGTATTTCATTATTACATAAACTTTATAAAGAGAAGATCTCTGGACCAAAATGAGTCGGTCAGACAGATTTAGTTTTTTTTTGCTATTTCTGTTCCATTCAGATCCTCATATTTGTTAAATAAAGCAAGACTCTCATATAATATTAACAGACAGAAAATATGACTTTACAAACTGTATTGCAAATAAATCACATCAACATCTTCATATTAGTCAATAATATTCCTGAAATTAATATAAAACTGACTGAATATAACTTTACACACATGAACATCAGTAAATAAAGAGACTCAGTGATGGGCTGAACATCTGCAGAAACACAGCTCATTTAGAGACGCCCCAAAAACACCAAAGAACACCAATCAATGATCATTTCAGCAGAAATGACACTAAAGAGCAATATTATATCTGATATAAACAGGGTTTCTCATATTTGACCTCACATTAAATATGAAATATTCACAATAAATAAACAGGAATAAAATACATCACAGCATATGCTCATTACCTCATCAGACTTTACAGCATTTCACAATGTAAAAGTCATTTGTGGCAGCATTTATTTGATGGAAATGTTTTTATTTTACCTCAGTGTGTCCAGTTTACAGTGTTGACTCTTCAGTCCATCAGAGAGAAGCTTCACTCCTGAATCCTGCAGGTCATTGTTACTCAGGTCCAGCTCTCTCAGCACACAGTTTGAGGATTGTAGAGCTGAAGACAAACTCTCACAGCACTGAACAGTGAGATTACAGCGCTGTAGTCTGTGTAGAGGACAAAGAGCAACAAAATCAGCAGTAAGAAATGAGCAGTGTTGTGTTCATGAGTCCAGTCTACAGTGATAAAAGCAACACTGGAAATAAACTATATATATATATATATATATATATATATATATATATATATATATATATATATATATATACACTGCTCAAACAATAAAGGGAACACTAAAATAACACATCCTAGATCTGAATGAATGAAATATTCTTATTAAATACTTTGTTCTTTACACAGTTGAATGTGCTGACAACAAAATCACACAGACATGATCACTGGAAATCATATGTATTAACCCATGGAGGACTGGATTAGTAGTCACACTCAAAACTGTAATGATCTGCAGGAATTACTGACACACTCCAGACTAAGGATGCACGATATATTGGCGCCTATATCGTTATCGGCCGATAAACGCTATTTTTAAGATTATCGTTATCGATCCGATGTCTTAATTAGGCCGATATATTTAAGCCGATAAATTAATTGTACAGACCTGTGTGCCGCGCTCGCGTGGGCGGAACATGTTCAGACTTGTCCAGTGCACTATAATGGATCTCTCCTCACACTATTTATTCCTTCAAAGTCTGTCCTTTCTTCACGTGGCATTGCTGTGAGTTAATAACTCAGTAAATAACCACGTTCCTCATCATTGTAGATATGCTTGATTGAGAGTCATTGTGTATTTTGCTTTAAATCGCCTCAGGAGTAATATTACATGTGGAAACCTTTCCTGCTCCGTCTCTTTGTTGTGTTAGAGATATCAGGGGAGATTCACTTATTACTCCAGGGCCGAATAATGTTAGTTTCGGGGTGAACTCTTTTCGTTGCTTAACTTGGTCCAAAATATTTATTACTTTCCGTGTGGTACAACAAATAAGCCACCAAAGAGGGAACATCACAGAAAATGGTCTCATTGTGAAAAAAACGCTCCTCTTTTCTCTCTCCTGTCTCACAAACACCCCAAACTGCAGCCCAGTCCCGTTGAAGGACTCGCACATTTTACAACACGTGTAAACATAATGGTTGTTTGTAATCTGATTATTTGTTATTATTAACGCGTTGCTGGTCATGTGTTGTTGATGTAAGATAGTATTCAGTTTGATCGGAATGTTCATATTGATTATAACGAGCTCGCGTGAGAGCTGTCACCGCACACACACACACACACACACACACACACACACTGTAGCACGGGGGAGAGGCGAGAGTTGAATCCAGTCAAAGGGGCTCTTAACTAGCCGCTTATTCTGTCTTTATATTCTGCTCTGTGTTTGTCATAAAGTCAGCTCAATGCAGGTTTTGTATCAAAATCTGACTCTGATGGCAACTCTGCCTCTACAGTTGAGTAAAACTCTCAGCGGTTTATCATAAACTTTTCATCGATCATTTTCCCGCGATTGACGGCAAGAACGAGCGCAGAAATGTTGTCTGATTAACAAGCAGCACCTACATGTGACATGTCAAAACGCCAAATAGGATGAATCTGTGCCGCATTTTCTAAACGTACTCTCTGTATTTAGCTGTTCGCTTGTACGGTGGCTCTGAACTGTCAAAACATCTCTGATAAAGGCTTTTTCGGACATGACATATTTGTAGATGTGTACATCACTGTAACATGTTTTATTCATGACCATTTGAGCTGGTTTCAGTCCTTAGCTCTTTAATTTTCATCTTATTTAAATATATTTAACTTGCTTGTCAATTAAATACCATTTTGTTATTTAAACTATTATTTTTATGCAACAATCAACTTGCATGTTAATTTGCTATGAAGAAAAGAAAATAATTTTTTGCATGCTGATTTATGTGAAATCGTGAATATAGGTCTATAATCACCTTGTAATTTTGAAGTTTTAGCTTTTTTGCTTTGAGTATAGACTATTCAGTTCATAAGAGCAGTTCAATCTTTTATGAACTTTGCTGTATAAAAATATAACATTCATACATTCATTTTCTTGTCGGCTTAGTCCCTTTATTAATCCGGGGTCGCCACAGCGGAATGAACCGCCAACTTATCCAGCAAGTTCATCAGCGGATGCCCTTCCAGCTGCAACCCATCTCTGGGAATTTTTTTTAAAAATATATATATAACAATTTTAAATACTTATAATTATCGGCATATATATATCGGCTATCGGCCCCCAATTCTGAAGAATTATCGGTTATCGGTATCAGCCAAAAAATCCATATCGGTGCATCCCTACTCCAGACACATGGACATTTTCAGAACAAGAATATTTATTTCATTTAAAATAAACAATTTATTTATTTATTTAATCTACATTAAACTAAACCTGTATTTCCCCATTCATATGACTGTAATGAATTATTGAACAGATTATTAATAACTAATCAGAGAGCATTTTACTGAGCTCAGTGTAAAGTTTAGTGTTTAGGCCTACAGTAAATGTAATATTAGAGGCATGTCTGCGGCGAGACGGCAATACTGTGTCTAAAATTACACTATTTCTCTGATCAGAAAACAAACACAATTATCCAAGAGCAACACTGTGTTAGATTTGAGCAAATACACATCAACAAATGTCCTATTCAGCTGGAGGAGCACAGGGATTTACAGGGATTTGAGTTATTTTCCAGGATAAACTGTAAAGCAAATGAAGTAGATTATTAAATAAGTACAAATGTTGTTTGTGTGAGTAAAAAGTCAAGAAAAGTTTGTTAAATACGTTTAGAAATGATGAAATAAATGAGCAAATAAGGAAACAGAACACTGCCGCCGTGTCCCCATGCAGTAATATGGTGTATCAGCGATCTCACAGGGGGACGATATGGCCAGCTAAAGATTTTCTGTTAAAGCAGGGCAGTGATTCACTAAACTGATCTGAGTCTTCAGTGCAGACTGATGTGTGTCTTCTGTGATCAATCAATGAATACTCACAGAGCTCTTCTGCAGTTTCTCACAGCTGCTGTCAGTCTCCGTCTTCCCTCAGCTGATGTGTTGAATTTATTAAAGTCTAACTCATCCAGCGGCTCCTCTGACATCTCAATCATGTAGGAGATTGTTGAGCAGTGAGCAGGAGAGAGTTCCTCCTCTGAGTGTTTGTCTGATTTCACAAACTCCTGAATCTCTCTGGCCAGAGTCTGATCTTTCACCTCCAGCAGACAGAGGAACAGATTGATGGATCTTTCAGCTGAGAGATTTTTCGTCTTCTGAAACAGTCTGATGGGTCTTTTACCTGAGAGTTCATCATCTGTCTTGATCTTGTCTTTAATGTACTGTGTGATTTCTCTGATGTTCTCTGAGCTCTCCTCTGTGTGTGTCAGCAGATCCTGGAAGAGTCTCTGATTGGACTCCAGTGAGACGCCCAGCAGGAACCGCAGGAACAGATCCAGATGACCATTACTACTCCTGACAGCTTTATCTACTGCTGAACTGAGCAGATTATACAGAGACTTCTCAGAGCTGGACTGTAGATATTGATCATATGAATATTCACTGTCATAAATCCCCCTCAGCGGTTCTCTGTTCTCTGTTAAATGGCAGCAAAACACAAAGAAAGCAGCCAGAAACTCCTGAAAGCTGAGATGGATGAAGCTGTAGACTTTCCTCTGATGAATCACAGATTCCTCCTTGAAGATCTCAGTGCAGATCCCAGAATACACCGAGGCATCAGTGACGTCTATGCCACTCTCAATCAGGTCCTCCTCATAGAACATCACATTGCCCTTCATCAGCTGTCTGAAAGCCACTTCAGCAAGTTTGAGGATCACTCCTCTGTTGGCCTGCCGGAGTTTCTCTGGATCTCTCTCTTCATACTTCTGCTTCCTCATGTTGATCTGAATCAGCAGGAAGTGGATGTACATCTCAGTCAGAGTTTGAGGGATTTCTGCACTCACATCTTCTTCCAGGAGCTTCTGAAGCACAGTGGAGGAGATCCAGCAGAAGACGGGTATGTGGCACATGATCTGGAGGCTTCTTGCTCTTCTGATGTGGGAGATGATTCTGCTGTCTTGATGCTCGTCGCTGATTCTCTTCCTGAAATATTCCTCCTTCTGAGGCTCAGTGAATCCCTGAATTTCTGTCAGACGGTTGATGTATCTGGAGGGGATCTGATGGGCTGCTGCTGGTCTGGAGGTGATCCAGATGAGAGCAGAGGGAAGCAGATCTCCTTTCAGGAGGCTCCACATCAACACAGCCACTGATGAAGATTCAGTCACAGCACAAACTTTCTTCTCATCTGATGAAGATTCAGTCACAGCACAAACTTTCTCCTCATCTGAAAAGTTCAGCGTGATTCTGCTTTCATCCAGACCATCAAAGATGAACACAACTCTACACTGCTCATAAATCTTGGGCTCCAGATCTTCAAGTTCAGGATGAAAGTCCAGCAGAAGTCTGTGAAGACTGTACTGATGATCTCTGATCAAGTTCAGCTCTCGAAATGGAAGCACAAACATGAAATCTACATCCTGGTTGGCTTTTCCCTCGGCCCAGTCCAGAATGAACTTCTGCACAGAGACGGTTTTCCCGATTCCAGCGATGCCTTTAGTGAGAACAGTCTTGATCTGGGCTTTCTCCTGCTTGATCTTCTCCTCATGTCCTGCTCCAGCTGAGGCTTTAAAGATGTCATTGCAGTAGACTGGAGTGTGTTGTGAGGGTTTTGTTCTGGCTCTTTTCTCCATCTGTAAAACCTCATGTTCTTCATTCACTCCTTCACTCTCTCCTTCTATGATGTAGAGCTGTGTGTAGATCCTGTTCAGGAGGGTTTGAGTGTCTCCATGGTTGACTCCCTCAAATAATCTCTCATACTTGTTCTTCATGCTGGTTTTGTGCTGCTCTTTGACTCTCTGAAGTTCATCATGTTCTGGTTGGAGTGAATCCTGCTGCAGGTCTCCAGTCTGATCATCTCTATACACACTGCAGGAACAACAACAACACAAACAATCAATGAGTAGACCCCATGGTTATACCTTATGGCTCGGAAATTATGTAAAAAAGGGAGACATCCAAGATAGCCAACATTATAGAACACAATTTATTAAAGAGACTCTGTATAACATATTAAGTATAATAAAAATGTCCTGATGAATACTGAAATACAGTTCAAGTGTGGGCAATAATGTACAACACTAAATACCTTTGGGCAGGTGATGGTGATTTCTCACTTAGGTTTGGTGGAGGACCCATTGACCGGTCACTCTTCAGAGACACAGCGCTGGACACACATGATCCTGATCTCACACTGAACACACCAGAGGAAAATGAGCATCACAACCTCAAGGTGTTTTTCAAGGTGTAAGATAAATCTTTAATGAGTTAAATTTCAGATCAATATAGCCATCAGATCATTATTATACTCTTCTGAATATGTGAATCCCAGTCCAACACTCCCTCTTGTGTGTCTCCTGCGTTCAAAGTTTTTGGTTGAAGTCAATATTCATATTAAATATATTTAGGTGGCGTTTACTTACAGCTCTGTGCATTCTCTCATCATGTTTTTTTCTTCTTTTTCTACATTTTTGCTAATTCTACAGCAGAATTTATGCAGAATGATTTCCATAGGTGTCGTAATATCAAAACTAAATCATAATCGTATCATAACTAAAAACTTAATACATAAAATAAAAATAAAAACTTTTAAAGTCTTATTTAATGTTTACAATGCTAATCCATTTAGATCCACATATTTGGTAAACAAAACAAATCTGTCATATAATATTAACAAACAGAAAATATGACTTTACAAACTGTATTGTAAATAAATCACATGAACATTTCTTATATAGTCAATAACATTACTAAAATTAATGTATAAACTGAATAATATAAATGTGCTCACATTTACACTAGTAAATAAATAGACTTAGTGCACAGCAAATTCATTGGTGTTAAATTTCAAGTGTTGTGGTAATTCAGAGTAAAGTGTTAAAATTCTAGAGTTAGATAAAGGTAAAATAACCCTCTCGGCGTAAGAAGCTGATTTGCCTCCTTGTCACACAGAGTAACATATATCTACCTTTGTAGAAAACCCTTGTATTTGAGAAACTAATCAGAGTGTCTGAAATCTCGCCACACCCTCATTCACCTGGCCCTTAAATTGGTCAATTAGTTTAGTCCACTAGACAGAGCGAATGACCACAAATAAGTGAAATCAGACACCTGCTGATAAACACCTGCTGTTAACAAGCACAATCACTGAAGGAATAAGAAATTGAAGGAAGAAATAAATCTACAGACACAGCCTCACACCAAACCAACTGAATTAAAACAGAGGATTAAACAACTCAATTAAATAATAGCATAAGCAGCTTCACTGATTACAGTTTGACTTCATTTCTGTAAGAATATTTGACAAAGAACAGAGTTTTATATTTTTTATTAAAAATATTTCATTTGACCTCACCATCATAGAGATCAGAGGCTGCTTATTTGAGCTCTTGAAGCTTTACTCTTATAGCCTAATATTTCTCTGGCTGCAATAGCTGTGTTTCTAAAACTCATCAGCTATAGCAAGAAAGGTCAAGAGAAACTATACTGTTTATGCTTAATTATTATAGATTTAATTTCTGGTGTTTATTAAGTTGATTCATAAGAATATGCAAATATAGTTGTATTAAAGCTGCATGGGACAATTCTACTGGTAGTCTGCTACTCTTCATAGAAAATTCAACAAACAATTAGGATGCAATTAATAACTAGAGTGTCATTCAATAAACATTCAAGCTCCAGCTTGCTCTTTATGACACACAGGCATCAAGAATAAGGACATGAACCTCAACTGTGGTTGCTAAAAAAAAAAAGCCGCATACACTGTAAAAAATTGCTGTTAAAAAATGGTCAGATTCTACGGTAAAATAATGTTTTTTCACTAAAACAGTAATATTCTGTTAAAAACAGTGCTTTCTGGGTATCATTTTTGTTTTCGAGAAAGTAACCAACTGCAGAAAACTGTGAGCTAACAGAGTTCAGATTCGATGTTTTGAAGTCTGTGTTTGAAATCACACTTTGTGCCCTTGTTCACTATTTCATACACTAGTTAACTAATATAGTTCACCTGACAGTTTTAATGAACACTAATGAGTGAATTCAGACACTGATGAACACCTGCTGTTAATAATCACAATTACTGAAGAAAAGAAACAAGAAACACAAACAGTGACTTGAGTTACAACATTAAATAAAATCAAATAAAATAAAATAGCTTCAGTCTCAGCAGAGGATCATTAAACAACTCCACAAACAACAGCAGACACACTTATTACTGACTGATTTGACTTCCATACTATTCTCATTGAGATCCAACAGAAATTAAGGTGTTTTTTGTGTCACCGTAATGGAGTGAGGGGCTGATTTAGTTGGGCTCTTCACCCTTGATCTCATTTAAGACGACTTTCCAGCTGTTGTAATACAGAGTTTACAAAACGTTTGTACCATAGCAATAAAGTTGGGAAGTCAATAAATAGAGAAATCCATTTGTCTGAAATTAGTTCTGATAAATATTTTGGTATAAATCTGGAAGAAGGGCCACATGCAATAGATTTTATGCTTAGTTGCAGGTATTAATTTAATTAATGAGAAGTGGAAACAGAAAAGATACCTCCATAAATACTTAACAGTTAAGAAATAACATACAAAAACAGTTCAGTTATGACAAATACACACTCAGACCTCATGAATTTGACCTTGTATCTCAACAATGGTAACATCTCAAATGTTTCATGCTGCAATGCATGCTGGGAGTGGCACTGTACAAATATCCCAGCATGCATTGCGGTATAAATAAATGTTGTATAATGGTCTCAGTTTTCTTTATTTGCGTTTGATTCTGCTGTTGTTTATGTTTAGACTTTCAGTTGCCTGTTTGTGAGTTAAACTGTTAATTTTGTTAGTTGTCACCATTATTGAGGTTCATACGCTGATTATTGATGTCTCTTTGAGTGCGATTTACACCATAGAGCAGTGTTATTGTCCAAGATATTCTTAAAAACTTCCAGAAATCATTGCCATATATATACATATAATGTAAAACAATAGATTTAACATTGAATAGGAGCAGTAAATTTTATTATACTAAATGAGAACAGACTCTGCCATTTATTAGCAACATGAACATCAGCAGATCTTGTTTAGGTTTTTGGCTGGCTTGCCACATCAAAGGAGCTTTTCAAACAAAGTTCTTAACAATTGCAGCAGCCAAGATATATAAATGTTTAAAATGACAGGGCTAAGAGCCCAACTAAAGCAAACTCTGTTCTCCATGATGGTGACGTAAAACTTTCACTTTTTCTCAAGAAAAACTTTAGTAGATGTTATACAAACATACATGTATTAAGTAATAAGTGTAGCTGGTGATGATGTTTGTAGAGTTGTTTAATCATCCGCTGATCATTTAAAGGATTTAATCATTTGTTGTTCTTCAGGTTATTTCATTATAAAGCTGTGACTAAAGTTTTGTATGTTCTGTTCTTGTTTTTTCCCTTCAGTATTTCTTCATTTGTTCATTGTTAATCCTCAATTATCATTTAATTAGTCAGTTAATTAATGAATTTACTTCAGCTTTGCTCCATGTTTCTTGAACACTCAGTAGTGTGGACACTTCAATTAAAACTGAAGTATATGCTCTGGGGTTTAAAGGGTAAAGGTGTGAGAGGTAAAAACACAGTGTAAAAATGTATTTTAACATTAATATACTGTTAATTTACACAACGGAAGTAGACTGTAAAAAAGCAGTATATTGCTGGCAACCACAGCTGCCAGTAGATTACTGTTAAATCAAGGAAAAAACAGTATTTTACTGTAAAACCTGAAGCTAATTTCTTCTGTCTGTCACCGTTGTGGAGGAGAGTAGAGCCAGTGTATGAGTTAAAGATGAACAATGAACTGCTGATGTTATTCTGCATGTTTCTCTATTTAAAGATAGCGGCTGTTTAGTTGCTGATGCAGTCAGAATCTCTCTGGTGATTCCAGATTTACATGTATGTGTGCTGTTGTGAAAAATAAGACATTAGAGTTAAACCGAACTTTTCTAATTAACTAAAATAAGTTATCATTATAAGTATGCTTCTAAGCATATATAGCACATTACTTCATAAACTCATTCAGCAGTTGACCAAGTTGAGGCAGTTGCTTTCAGTGAGCAAAATGAGTTCACTTGAGTATTGTGTAAATCAATGTAGTCCATGTATTTTTACAGCAACATACTGTAAAATAACAGTACATTGCTGGCAACTGCAGCTGCCAGTATTTTACTGTTTTTTAACGGGACAATTTTTAACAGTGTAGTTCATGCCGCAATGCATGCTTGGTGCCAGCATAGTACAAAGCTCCCAGCATGCATTGCAGCATGAATAAATTATGCAGCTTTATGTTCTTACAATCTCTTTCTTTTCCTTTATTTTGTGTTGTTTTTGGGAGGTGATATTTCAGCAGTGTTTTTTTTTACTTGATTTTTATTTTTTTGTTTGTCACCATTATTGAGATTCAAAGACTAATTATTGATGTCTGTGTGTTTTTGAGTTCTGCCATAGATCAAACATTCTCATTGTAAATATTGTTTTTATTTTATTGGAGCTTCAGTGGTTTCATTTATGTATATTATTTATTTCTCCCACATAACTAATATGATACTGAATTAGAAAACAAGCAGGAAAGGATGGCTATGTTATCATTAATAATCTCTTCAGACTGACACTTTAATTTTCTTTCAGCTTTCTATGCTATATGTATAAATAGTGTAATTAACACTAACTATAGCAGCCAAAATAAAAGACATTTATAGTAAGAAGTTGAAGAGCCTGACTAAAGCAGAAATTTTATTAAGAGCTTTTGTTCACATGACAGAAATAAAGTCAAAGGTCAGTAATAGGTGAAGCTCCATGATAAGTTGTTTATTTGATGAGTTTTTTTTTAAAGATGTTGAAAAATAACATTTTTTATTGTGTAATTTTTTTTATTTTTATTGATTATTATTTTATTTAGAGTTTTTTTTTTCTCAGTTGATTTCATCTTTGGTTTTGGCTTGTGTTTTTCTGTCCTTCAGTGATTCTGCTTGTTAACAGTTGTTTATCAACAATTCTCAATCCTCCTTTAATTAGACACTTAATTGTCTCATTAACTTCATCACTGTCTGAGTGTTCAGCCCTCTGTAGTGAGGACACTAGTGAGGATTTTGCTGTGGAATTTAAGGCTTAAGTGTGTTCGAATGAAAAATACAGACTATGGGATGTATTTTTAACAGAAATATTCTGGAAACTGAATTTACGAATGTAAAATGTTGAAAACAGCAGATTACTGGCAACCACTGCTGCCAGTATTTTGGCATACATTTAACAGATATTTTACACAATAAGAGTTTGCTAATTAACACTCTGGGTGTTAAAAATTTTAGCACTTTCAAAAATGTTATTTTAACACTTATAGTGGTTCCCATATAAACACTGAGGGAGTGTTAATTTTAACTCTAAGGTAGTTAAATCTACCAAATCTAAAATTTGCAGTGTGAGATCGAAACAAAATACAGACTGTTAAATGTGCTTTTAACAGAAATATTCTGTAAACTGAATTTATGAATGTGAAAAACAGCAGATTACTGGCAACCACAGCTGCTGGCATTTTTCCGTAAAATCTAAAAATGAAAAAAAAGAAAGAAAAACAGCAAAACGGTTTTTGTGTCACCATTGTGGAGGATAATAGCGTCTCTGTTCAAGTCCAAGATGAACTGAGAAAATTTGATGTTATGCTGCATCTTCTTTTGTTTAAAGGTAACTGTGTAGTTACTAATGCAGTCAAAATCTACTAGCAATCACACATGAAAACATTATTGCATCTAAAGACTTTACATTTTCGTGCACTAAGCTATGATTTTGTAAAATAAACAATGTGTTAGTTCATGAAATATGGTTATTTTTTGTAAATTTATACAGTTATATAAAACTTCCATGTTTTTCACAAAAAGGTTCTGGCAACCACAGCTGCTGGTATTTTTTCGGAAATTTAACAGATATTTTACACAATAAGAGTTTGCTAATTAACACTCTCTTGGTGTTGACAATGTTAACACTTTCAAAAGTGTTATTTTTAACACTTATAGTGGTTCCCATATAAACTCTGAGGGAGTGTTAATTTTAACTCCAAGGTAGTTAAATCTACTATCTAAAATTTGCTGTGTGGTGGGCTAAAAACCTGCGTATATCTGCACACACAGAGTGCATGTGGGTCAAAGTATTACTAATAACAGAAACATATGATAAGTTTATTATATCAAGTTTTTTTATGTATATATATAAATAAATCACAAGGTGCAAGAGGTGAACAGTGTGATTTGTTGCTTTTTTCAGATCAGCACAACTTTAATTTTCATGTTTTATGTCATGTTGTTAAAATAGCACATCCGTTTGCACCATTTTGTGGATTGTGTTACAATCTATAAAGGAGGTGTGTTAAGGCTATTTTGAAGAACTAAAATAGACCGCACCTTTGAGCAACTAAAACCTGCTCTCAGCACAGATTAAAGCTGTCTGTAATCTAGAATGATCTAAACACATTTGCTGAAGCTGTAAACTGAAGCTTTGTCCATCATTTGATCAGGCAATAGCAACACAAATAAGTGCATTGTTTTTGGTCTTTGTTCTTCAGAGAAAGTGTTGAAATAATGGTGTAAAAACAGAGTCAATACCTGTGTTTCTCTGAGAGAGAGTCCTTTACTCGCTCCTCTGCCATACTGCAGCTAAAACACCAATGCAGACATTAGCAGAGCTTTGAGGAAACAATCAGCCGCTGACCACCACCTGGAGATGACAATATACTGAGATGAAGAACAGCACACTTTACATACACACTTCTTCAAATGAATGCAGTTCCCTGATCTGACACCTCATATATTTCACATTTAATATATGTTATATACGTTGTCGAGTGACATACTACACATTTAGTTAGTAGTCAAAACGTCTGCTGACAGATAAGGGTTAAATGTAATTTGTTTAGTGAACATCAGCATTTTAATAAGAAATAAATAAATTAACAAAACCAAGCCATAAAAAAAAAACAATCTGAACCACCTCTTTAAAAAAACTAGTTTTTCAGCAGCTTTTCTTCCTGTTCAACTTGAAGGTCTGCTTTAACTTTACTTTTGATTTCGTGACTCTAAATGTTTAGAGTTATATTTAATGCTGAATTATTGGACACTATTGAGTCAGTCTGATATAGAAGAGCACAAACACTTTAAAGGGATTAAAAATAAAGCTTTTAGACACAGTGTTTAAATGAGTGTGTTTGACTCAGTGTTTAATCTGTGTTTGAGGATTTGATCTTCAGGATCAGACATTTAAATCACACTCACACATATAAACCCTTCATCATCTCCACAAATCAGCGTAATGTAGAAGTGTTAAACTCACATGCAGAAGTACAGACGCTCTTGTGCAGCAGGAACACAATCTGAGCTCTTTCACTCTTTCACTTCACTAAAACGCACCTGTGTGATCTACAGGTGTATCCTGAAATATTATTGGCTCCACAGAGTGACACTGACATGAATATTCATGAGATTCTCCTGACTGTGGGCGTGTCCTCGAGACAACACACAAACCACTGGAGCTGAAGATATCTGTGCAGATTCTCTGAGCACGAGTGTGTTGAAGGAAGATTTAGAAAAGGTAAACAATTTAGATGAAATCTGAGAGGTCTCTGAAGAATATTTACAGCAATGTCGAACCTATAAAATAAGATTAGAGATTCATATATAAATAAGTACACCTCATACAGATCTCTGTTATATTATTATTTTCTATAGGGTGCTGTTCAATAATATTCAATAAGTGTGTTTATACAATATGTTGAAAAGGTTTAGGGATTTATTGGTAGTTTGGGACTGATTGACAGCTATACCTTATACCAGCATAAGCACACTTTACAGTCAGCAGCCATTTTGCAGGGTGCAGAGCAGTCTCCAAACACTCCAGTGGTAAACCTTCAGAAATTCAAACTCCAGGCAAGAATCATACTGTCATTACTGTGACAAAAATCACCACTGTCTTAATCAGTGCCCAAATTTTGCACAGCTAACCAGTGAAGCTAAATAAGAGATGCTGGAGGTATGGATGAAAAAATCAAGCTGCTCAATGCAGGTGAAAGGCCATCTGTAAAATTTGTAAAGGCAAACACCTAAATGTCCTACATGACCGCAACACAAAATCAGCTGAGATGAAGCAAGTTGAAATGCCTCTAGAAAGTCAGATCCTGTACCTTGATCGGCCAGCAAACGGCAGCCAGGTCATGTTGAAAATCAGTAAAGTGTTGTTACACAATGGCAAGCATTTACTGAGGGCTTATGCAATTCTGGACGATAGGTCTGAACGTACCATCTTGCTTCATAATGCAGCAGAACAACTTAAGCCTAATAGACAGGAAGAGAAGCTTTCTTTAAGGACAGTTCGACACGACACCCAAGTTATTCATGGTTCAAGAGTATTTTTCACTCTTTTTTCCAGCATATCAGCCAGACAAAAGATTCAAAATAAAGAGTGCTTTCACTGCAGCAAATTTGAGTCTGGCTAAACATTCACATCCAGTTGCCCTATTGCAAAAAAAATATAAATATCTTAAAGGACTGCCTCCTTATGCGTTTTCGCAGGCCCAGCCAGTGCTGCTTATAGGTTCTGATCATCACAACTTGATCACCCCATGGAGCCAGTACAGCAAGAGCCCAGAACTGGCAAAGGTGTACAACCAAGATGTCGAAAGGCTGGAGCAATCTGGTTATGTGATCAAATTATCACCCAAAGCAATCGAGCAAACACATGAATCCTGGTACGTACCACACCATATGGTGCACCATAATGGCTAACACAGGGTAGTGTACAATTGTTCCTTCCCGTATCAAGGCCATAACCTTAATAAGTATTTGCTGCATGGGCCCACTTTTCCTTCCACCTTGTTAGGAGAGTTGCTTCGCTTTAGAGAGGATTTTGTTGCCATCATGAGTGACATTAAAGGCATGTTCCATCAGATTTGGCTGCTCGAAGAAGAAAGACAGCTTCTTAGATTTCTGTGGAGAGACATGCATTGTGATAATCCAGTCAGCATCTATGAGTGGCGAGTTCTGCCATTTGGGACAACATGTAGTCCATGCTGCGCAACATTTGCTGTCCTCAAACATGTTCAGGAGAATACTGTGCCAGGTGAAGACACACGTGCAGCTGTGGAGCAACATTTCTATGTGGACAATTACCTGCAGAGTGTAACATCAAGTGACAAAGCATCCAAACTGGTGAACAAGCTGCAGACTCTACTTATGTATGGGGGGGTCGAATTAAGGCGGTGGGGTTCTAACATCCCTTCTGCTGTTGCTCACTTTCCTACATAAGCTAGATCTGAGAAAAAAATAGCTTTAGCTTTCTGAAAAGCAGCGAGATGTTTTTGAGTCCACCATGGGTCTACGTTAGCTCTGCCAAACAGACACACTTGGTTACAAAACTCATCCAAGGGAGCCACAAATACCCACAATGAGGTACGCCTACCAAGTCTTAGCCTGTCAGTATGACCCACCAGAGTACATAATCCCCTACACAACACTAATTAAAGCATTGGTTCAAAGGTTATGGGATAAAAAAATAAAAAAAAAACATGGGTGGGATGACCCATTGCTGCCAATGGAACTTATGCAAGCCTGGCAAGAATGGGAGAAGGAACTGCAGCACCTGAACAACATTGCCATACCACAGTGCTACACCTGCACAGAGCTAGATTCTGAGTCCTGCTTAGGAGACATCCACATATTCTGTGATGCTTCGAGTCAAGCATACGGTTCAGCAGCATATTTGAGAACACAGAGTCTTCAAGGCCAAGCTGAGGTTGCATTTGTCACAGCCAGATCACGAGTGTTCCCAAAACAACAGCTATCTGTACCCAGGCTGGAACTTTGTGCAGCACTTAGTGGAGCTCAACTAGCAAAAGTTCTAGAAAGGAAACTGACACTGAACATTCAGAAGGTTCATTTATGGAGTGACTCCAAGACAGTCTTGTCCTGGATCCAATCCGATTCATGCAGATATAAAGTGTTTGTGGGTACACGAATCGCAGAGATTCAGGAGCTGACTGAAAACAATCCAGCAGACGACATAACCCACAGCAAAACCCTTCAGCAGCTCTCAGTTCCCAGTCAGTGGCAGCAGGGTCCTCAATTTCCGTGCCAAGACTCAAGTACCTGGCCTTAAGATACAAAGAAATCAGTCCTAGACATTACTGATGAGGAGAGTGGGGTAACCTTTTGTAGCCTGACCACGATAGACTACTCTGATATAATGCAAGAATTCTCACAGTACCACAGCTTTGATCAGTTGGTGGAACATAAAGCACAAGAGCAGTTAAAGCAAACTAATCAAACCCGAGAAGTATGTGCCCAAGACCATGCAGCTGCTGAGTACTGAGTCCTGAAGCAGGCACAAGCCATGTGCTTTCCAGCTGAACTTAATGCATTAAGAGGTAACAAACCCTTACTTTCCAACAGTAGATTATTAGCCCTAGCCCCTGAGCTTGACCACTCAACTGGACTTATTAGAGTCGGTGGTCGTCTGAGACATAGTGAACTGCTTAAGCCAGATACCGTGCACACAGTTGTACTTGAACCCAAAAACCCACTCAGTCAACTCCTGATTCAGCATTATGATGAAAAACTCCATCATCCTGGCCCAGAAAGAGTGTTGGCGGAGTTACATAGAAAATACTGGATTGATCAAAAAGATATCAACTGTTGAATCGACTGAAGAAATATGGATCCTGTTAAACTGGAGAGTGAAGATGTGAAGACTGAAGAAGAGGCGCTTACAGTCAAAAAAGAAGAGTCTGAGGAACAGACAGGTCGGTTTATTAAAGCTCATTTCATCTGTGTGTTCACTAAACATCTTCAGCTAAAAGTAGCTAAAACTAGTTTTACATTCGCACAAATATTCTCAGTTCATCTCGGACTTGAACACAGACGCTATTATCCTCCACAATGGTGACACAAAAACCGTTTTGCTGTTTTTCTTTTTTTTTTTCATTTTTAGATTTTACAGAAAAATACCAGCAGCTGTGGTCGCCAGTAATCTGCTGTTTTTCACATTCATAAATTCAGTTTACAGAATATTACATTTAGACTTTCTCATTAATAATATCACTTCAGAAAATGATTCTGTGCTAATTCTGACTAGTGAAATCATATATTAAGTAAAAGTTGTTTTTATAATTGTTTGTTTTGGTACTGTGACAACTAAAGACAGGCTACTGTAAATATTGGCTCTGAAATGGCGCGTAAGAATGACTTCAACATAACATTAGCACTGTTTAATTGACTGTTAATATTGTATATTGATGGTCATTATATAATAATATAATATGATTTTACTATTTCAAATTAGCACAGAATCATTTTCTGAAGTTATTTTATTAAGGAGAAAGTCTGAATGTGTGAATAAAAGACCAACTTTACCTCAATAAATCACATTATTAGCCAACGACTATCAAAGTACAATAGTCACAGTCAAATAAACCGTGCTAATGTTGTTTAAGTCATTCTTATGCGCCATTTCAGAGCCAGTATTTAAAGTAGCCAAAATTAACAAATGTACGAATATGAAGCAACTTTACCTCAATTTATAAATCAATTCATGACTATTGTGCAGTTGTTGTTGTTTTAATATTTAAGTTATAATGAGTTAACAAAGGTTAAATGTAATATATGATAATATATGATATATACTTTGTCAAGTGACATTATATATATTAACTAAGATACTGAGTTAGTACTAAAAACGTTTGCTGACAGTGAAGGGTCAAATGTCATTTGTGTAATGAAAGTCAGCATTTTAATAATAAAAATAAATGAACACAACCAATCCTTAAAAAACAATCTAAACCACCTCTTGAAGAAACCTGTTTTGAGCAGCTTTTCTTCCTGTTTAACTGGAAGGTCTGCTTTAACTTTACTTTTGATTTCGTGACTCTGACTCTGTTCAGAGTTATATTTAATGCTGAATCATTATAAACTATTGAGTCAGTCTGATATAGAAGAGCACAAACACTTTAAAGGGATTAAAAATAAAGCTTTTAGACACAGTGTTTAAATGAGTGTGTTTGACTCAGTGTTTAATCTGTGTTTGAGGATTTGATCTTCAGGATCAGACATTTAAATCACACTCACACATATAAACCCTTCATCATCTCCACAAATCAGCATAATGTAGAAGTGTTAAACTCACATGCAGAAGTACAGACGCTCTTGTGCAGCAGGAACACAATCTGAGCTCTTTCACTCTTTCACTTCACTAAAACACACCTGTGTGATCTACAGGTGTATCCTGAAATATTATTGGCTCCACAGAGTGACACTGACATGAATATTCATGAGATTCTCCTGACTGTGGGCGTGTCCTTGAGACAACACAAACCACTGGAGCTGAAGATATCTGTGCAGATTCTCTGAGC